GAATGGTTAAAAACAGTATTCAGCGTCTCACAAGTTAATTGTAGGGATCTGGTTATTTTAATATCTGTAGTAAACTAATGCAAGAAAGCAAAAATTAAATGTTTTGTGTTTTTTTTTTTTCCCAATTGGTATAAAATATTTCGCAACAGTGTCTTTAAATGTGTTCCTGCTTTAGGGTTTGAATTAAATCGCTGATTCCAGTTGAATCCATGTGATCGGGTTCTGCAGGACTGCTAATGAGCAATTCTTTTGGTTAAGGCTTTTTAAACTAGGGGGAAAAAAAATTAAATATGAACCTGAAAGTTTGCTGTAGTAAATTTACCCCTGGTCGCATCTTGTATATCCTCCAAAACCAGCCAAAAACCACATTGTAATGTTTAATCATTGCGATCTATCTCTAGGATCCAGCAGATCGAGGAAGTTGTGGCTTCACTAAGTCCAGGAAGGAACCTTTTTACAAGGATTATCAAGAAGGTTCACCAAACTCTGCTTTCATAACATCAGTAGAGTTAATTCTTTTGTTAATAAATCAAATAAATGTATATTTTTTTATTCCCTTTAATTTTTTTGCAGGTTATTCAATCCTAAATGCCAGTTTATCTCTGCAGTGCATTTATATTAGTAAACAAAAAACTGCATTTTCTGTAAAAATGAAAACTGTTGGGCTTGGTCAAATCACGCCTTTTGTTACTTACTAATCAGTAAAACATTTTTAGTTTATTAAATTCATTAAATCCTAATAAAAATGTGTTCTGATGGGTTTTTGTTTTGTTCTACTTGCTGGTCATGTTCTTTGGGTGCTGAACATATGTATATATCTTTGACTTGCTGTTTAAATGTTTAAACGTTTAAATTGTGATAATAAAAATAAAAAAAAACACTGTGTTGGACTATTTTATTATTTTTTTAAGATTAGTCATTATTGCTTTATTCCCAAAGCATTGCAAGTTATTTTCTTACCACTCTTATCTTTGACTTTAAAATAACAGATGGAGATTCAAAGCAGGATTGATTGATTTTACTGCAGCATTTAAGGCATTTTTCCCAATTTATCATTAATAAGGAAACAACTTTACTGTGGATTTCCCCTCATCCACTTTCCTTCTTTTTTTACAAACATAGACTTTATATTCAGCCTCCCTACCCAATACAAAAAAAAACAACTTGAGGTGCAACCAGGTCACTTTTATACAGAAAATAACCTCCAGTTTAAGATAAGCTGATACACTGGAAATAATCAAAATCTAGATAAGTCATTTTTTCTTAAAATAAGTGCATTTGTTCTTGAACTGAGGAGGTAAAAAAAGACATCTTGCCAATGGAACAAGACAATTTACTTTAAAAATAAGAAAACACAATTGCATTGTGTTGTTTCAAGTGCATATTATCTAAATATCTTATTTTAAGAGTAAAAATACTCTTTCCATTGGCAAATCATTTCATTTACCTACTGAAATTAAGTATGTTTACTTCTACCCAGCATTAAAGAAATGTATTTAGTCTAAATCCAAATAGACATGTTTCTGCCCCATTTCCTCTGCTCCTGGAAACTTTAACATTCACATATTTACCGCGTGAAGCAGTGAAATGTGAAGCATTGTTATTTCACTTCAATTGAGGAGATGAAGAATAACCTGGCAAAGATTATCACCCCTCAGAAGGAAGCTCTGATGGGTAACATCCCTCCACAATCGGTCATTGTCATGTTTCCATCAGTTATTTATTCTACAAAATGTGTTTTATGATCAGAGGCGTAAAGTAACAAAGTACAAATACTTTCTTAACTTAAGTAGAAATTCTGGCTATCTATACTCTAGTGGAGTAATTGCTTTTTCAGACAACTTTTTACTACTGCTTTAGTTTTCTTTATCAACTATCTCTACTCCTTACATTTCGAGAATAGACTCGTTAGTTTTTCATTGGGTATCTAAAATTAAAATCCATTAAAAAAATTAGTTTCCTTCAGACAATTAGTTTGTAGTTGGACTCTACTGCACCAAAATAAAAAGCTGTTTAAGATAATGCAAAGTTACATTTGACAGTGTTGCCATCAGTTATAGAGAAATTGTCCTCCTATGCAATTGTGCAGTAACCAGTAAAAGGTTTCAAGCATCTATGCTTAACATTTTTTGATGCATTACTTTCATAATTTAAGTGGTTTTAAAATTTGCACTTGAGTTAAAATTTAAACATTTAGATGTGTCACAGCTAGGGATACTCTGAAAAGTATAAGTTTGTTCCTCCACATAATCCACATCTATTACTGTCTTGTTACATTCACAAATAAAACTTGTTATTAGGAATAGATTGAACAAAATCAATTCAGAAATATCGAGTGTAAT